GTGTAAGTTACGTATTAGTAGTAGTAGTATAATATATAATATATATATATATATATATATATATATATATATATATATATATATATATATATTTAAATTCGTTCCGACGAAACTTTATCGACACAAGTCCTTACTCAATAAAACTGGTTTATTCTTTCCGAATACAACTTAACTTCAACAATACGTCTCTCTCTGACTGCAGTTCAATTACTCATTACCTACACACACATTATTGCGTCACGTTGTGACCATCTTATATATACCAGACTACCCTATATCTAGTAATCTCTCGAAGGTTCGAGAGAAGGAGTGGCGTGATAATAGTCACGTGACCTCGCTGACGCAACAATATACACACACACACGTTCGATCACGTTGATGCTTGTAGATGTTTGATCGTTTAAGTTGTCAGAATAAACCTTCCAGAGATGGTCTTTGATTTTGATACTCTGTTTTTGAATAAAAAAATTCCCATTTAGATTTCTTTTAAATACTTGTTCCCTCGTGTAGCTTTGCGCGAAATTCCAAAACAAACAAACACTCTAACAAACAATCTGTACGGAAAATAAGACTTGCGTAGTTGCACATTTCGTGCAAGTTGAAACAGAATAGTTCTTGTTTGAAATGTTGACAATTCTGTGTACATGTATATTTTGCCATGAAGTGTTACTTTAATTAGATATAAGATACTTAGAAAAGGCTGTTGTACTATTGTGTACTCTAATCAAAAGTATGAATGCACCCATTCGCAAAGTAAACTGAATATACGTATGTGTATTACACAAACGCGATCATAAATTGAACGCAAACCTGGTAAAAGCAGAATGTTTTCCAAAAAGAAATGTCGGAACGTACAACATCATTTTAACATTAAAAAACAAAACAAAACTAAAGTAACGTACTTCTATCGTATTTTATAGTTAATGAGTGAAAGGAAAACGGCCAAAACAAAAAGTTAAAACAATGTTACCAAAACATAATTTAAAAAAGTTTTAAAAACTAGTTTCTATTTGGATTGTTTGTTTATAATTAAGCACAAAGCTACACAATGGGCTATCTGTGCTCTGCCCACCACGGGTATCGAAACCCGGATTCTAGCGCTGTAAGTCCGCAGCCATACCGCTGGACCACTGGGGGGGGAGCTTCTATTTGGAAGACATTTTTCAATATTTGATCCGCTGTTATTACCGCACGACTAAAGCTGTATGTTTGTGCTAGAGGTGTGTAACAATAACCCAGTACAGAAAATGATTCTTCCAGGGAGGTTAATTTAAGAATCTTATTGACACCCTGATTGAAAGTGATAGTACACCCCGTACACTAGTCGGCAATAAAATGCGATAGAAAATGTACAGTAGAACATTGTGGTATGTTCGTTAACCGTGTGTCTTGCA